TGCTGGAAGCGCAGTCGCTGCCGCCACAGCTGCTGAGGATGGGACTGGATCTCTCATCGTGCGCTTGTAGAGCTTGCCGCGATGGCTGTACTCCCAGCCTATCCTGAAGTCCAAGACGCCGGCAAGCGCTGCCTCTCGAGAAGCAAACCTTGAACTCTGCTGCCTTTTGGCCTTGTCTCCCTTCCGCTTTGTGAAGTTGAGGAACAACCGCCACTTGCCAGTGTTCTTCTCTGGATAGCACACGGGCATGGACGTCTTCTCCCACTGGTCTGTGGCTGCGGGGAAGCGGCTGGAAGCCATGCTGTCGCTCTCTGCACGGTGCTGCGCAACAGCAATGTGTGCTGCTGCTGTGTTTTTTTTTCAAAAATCCCTAATTCCGCCGCAAAAAAAAACGTTTCAATTTTTTTTGAGCGTCTCTAAAACCTATATGAATTGGGGGTGATATCTTCCGTTTTGAGAGAACGTCGACAATAAGGTCGAGATCCCAGAAATATACGACGGGCATATGCGGTCACGTGGAGAGGCAGAACACACAAACCAAACAATAAATAGGGTTGTTTCTACGAGTGGCGTCTTCGAGCGGTCTAGAATTCGCACAGAGCCATGCATATGATACAAATGAGTGACCTACCGAAAGGATGCGAGAGAACGCACGGGGGTGAGAGCATTTTTCTAACCTTCATTGCTCCACGACGGTGAGGGTGCGAACACCAACCGATACCTCTCAGGAAAGCCCTCCACGTGATATTTCCAAAACTACCCTTCTCGGCAGTGGTACTCTCCTGGTTGTGACAAATCATGCTGTGTTAAGTGCCGACACCCCCGTGCGTTCTCTCGCATCCTTACCGTACACTGCTGTAGACAGAGGTGGTGTATCGGCGGCATCATACCTGAGATCCGGTCGAAGAATACCGGCCCATCGGCGACCACTGTTTAGCCACCATATTGTGCAAAGCTCTTTTGCTATTCCTTCCCGCTTTGTACGAGCCAACTACGCAGTCGGTCCGGGGACAGATATACTCTCTCATATCTGGAGAGGGTTCCCATGACGCCAGGCTGACCCGACACTCCCAGACCACTCGCCCAGCCCCGCCCATGTTTCCGAGTCCCCCATACATGCTGCCAACGTATCGAGCACCCGTCGCGGCTACCCGGACGGTAACATGCGAAGCACCGGCGAAGGTCCCTGCTGCTGCCGCTTCATTGCCGTGCAAAGCTTTGCCGCACGAGGCGCGGAAACCACGGACCATTCTGCAGAAAACCGTTGAAAATGAGGGTATACAGCTGATCGCCAAATCGCCGATTTTGGCGTCCACAGACAAAGATCGACGGTGATAATACAGCCGAAGTAAGTAAAACACCTCAGCTACACAATGCACCCTCTGAGAGCGGAAGACCCGTTGCTGGTAACTAACCTGGGCTTGGTGCGGCTGCTGGACCGAGTTGCTCCGCGTGTAGGAGCTCTGACCCGAGGCGGATTCGGTTTTAAGTACAGAAAGCAAACAAACGCACAAAACTTGCACCGGCAGCTCTCCCACTTGTAGCACAACAGTATACCGAGGTTAAAATCTGTCTGGTGCTCACGATGAGGCTCCTACGGCTCTGTGAACACGCAGGCTGCTGTGGTCTGTCCGGGGCGGGTTGAAGGGTCGCAAAAAACGAAGTACCATCTGCGAATGCCCGGCGTACAGTCGACCCCACTTTAGGGACGCATATGATTTTCCCCGAAAAAAGCGTCCTGAAAGCGGGGTTGCGTCCTTAAAATTCAGGGGACGATAGCTCACCATCCCCGTGGTCAATGAAGGCATACTAAACCTCACACTACGCGTCTTTTGATGAGGAAGGGTGTGGTACGAAAAGTCAGCATTGCCGAGACGACTGGCAACGGTTTGTTGACGAACATATTTACAAAACTTAAATATGAGATGTACAGCAGTCGGGGACGTGTGGAACCCAACTACACACAGCAGTACACTAGTTTGAACTTCGCCAACTAATGTACTGCTTCGCTGGCAGCGGACGAAGGAGGAAAGTCCAAGTAGTATTATTTTTATCTCATTCTCGTGAAGCACAAAGAAAAAGAGCGTATTTCAGGGTCGCACCGAGGAACACCAGTAAATATCACTGTCCCGGCGGACCAAGCTACCCTGACGGCTTTTCCCTCCACATATCGCGATGAGTTCCCTGAACCTCCCCCCGCGGCGTGGCTCTACGGCTCTGTTGGGTTTCATGTGTAAACAAATGAATGACCTTCGAAAGAAGGTATTGCGTCTCACGGTACTCGCCATCCCTTCCCTTCGCGTACAAATAGGATCGAACGTCCTCCAAGCGGAGAGAGAACCTCGCCCTCGGTGAGGGACGAGGTTATGCACGACTCCGGCCTGCTGTCGCCGTCACCCTCTTCGCTCGATACGTCGTCGTCCATTTCTAAGCCGATGAGATCCCTCTCTACTGCCTGCAGTTCCAACTCCACCTCCTCTTCTAACACCTCGGGGTCGTCCTCTACCGTAAACCACGTCTTGACCGCCGTTGGTACTTCCTGCTCTGTGAGGTCTGTGCCCTTCTCGACAAACAAATTGTGCGTCAACACTCGCGGCATAGACCTATAGTCCGTTACGCTAGCTGGCATCGACATTTTTGAGACCATGTCACAAAGGCCGTCGATGATTGCCGCGTCGTCCTTGTCCTCTTGGTCAAGCCGCGTGTCCATGCCCTGGAGAAAGTTGCAGTGCTCCCTGGGAAGGATGCCAGCCTTGAGCCAGCACCTGATGACCGTCTGAACGTCGAAGCTACGCCACTTCTGGGAACAGATCTCCGTGACGTCCAGCATTGTCGCCTGTCCTCCATCGCTGAGGCCCCGGCACCCTCTGCCGAAACGAAACACAGGGACGGATGAAAGGGCTTTCAAGATAAAGTTACACCATTAGACCAGTCAGCGCTGACTAGTCTAATGGTGTAACTTTATCTTCCCAAAGATATACGCTCAGCTCATTAGCACCCGGCTGGATCGCTTGGGTCTATTGCAAACTGAGAGCAGGGATCTCCGGGGACGGACCCCTCTCCAGACGCTGCCTGAAAAGAACAATATGGTACTTGGGGAAAGTGAGTAGCCGGGATTCGAACCCGTGCGTGAAACTTTTATCGCCAAACGTTCAACCAATAGTCTCATCAGCGATCACGGTATCTGCGCGCGGGCGTAGCCTTCCGGGGGTTGTGCAATCACGCGCAATTGGTAAACTCCCACAACAACAGACACCATGGAGGGCATCGACCTTTCCGCCCTTAGCGGGGAAGAACTACAACAAAGAGTTGAGGAGATCGTCCAGCAACGAGTACACGCCGAACTTGAAGCCAACAGGATCAACGGGGGTGAAGTCACCTACGCCCAACCACCAGCCGTCAACCCAGTCCCACCTACTGGCAACCAGCCATCACCCTCCAGCCAAGGCCAACCAGCCACCTTCAACGACCCCAGCAGCGTCGCACACATCGTGGCGCAAGCGGCTAAGGCGACAGCTGAGGCCATTGCTGAACAACAGGGCTTCGCCCGCTCAGGCACGTCATGTGTCAATCCTGGCTCAGAAATAGAACCTTGGCTTGGTAGCGTGAAGAATGAGCAGATCTTGTTTTTGAGGCAAATTTGGCGTTCCATGTTGCCGCAGGTCGGCATGCCATGCATCCCAGTCTTCGAGGACAACCAGGGGGCGATTCAACTAGCGCAGAACCCCACCTAAAACTCGAACTCGAAGCACATAGATGTAAGGCACTATTTTTCGGTGATCCACGTGCCGTCGCCATACCAGCGTGCAGATTTTCTAACGAAGAGCTTGCCGAAGGACACTTTCAGGTCTCATCGGTGAAAGCGATATATCCTAACCATTGGACTGCGAGGGAGAGATGTGACAAGGTTGGCGCCGACCTTAACAAGTCCGTGTCAGTGAAGAACCTGGGAGGGTTGAGATAGTATCCTGGGTGCTTTTTACGAGAGGAACAAAGAATCCGGTAGGTTGACGATTTCTCAGCAGACTTTCACGGATGAGCTAGCAGCAGAGTATGGAGTAGCGGGAGGTACGAGCGTTCCAATGTCTTCGGGGGTGAAGCTTTCTGATTTTGATGCGGATGAGGTGGCGACAGACTTTCCGTTTCGTGAACTAGTCGGATCATTGATGTGGCTGGCGACTCAGACTAGGCCAGATATTGCGAATGCAGTAAGGGCAGTAGCTAGGTATTGCGCATCTCCGAAGCTGGTACACTGGAAGTCAGCGCTGAATGGACTAATGGTTTAACATTTGACGATTTAAGCTTCACGCATGGGTTCGAATCCCGGCTACTCACTTTCCCAAGTACAATGAAGTTCGTTTCACGCAGCGTCTGGCGAGGGGTCCGTCCCCGGAGATCCCTGCTCTCAATTAAGCCATAGACCCAAGTGACCCAGCCGGGTGCTAATGAGCTGAGCGTATATCTTTTGTAAGATAAAAGTTACACCATTAGACTAGTCAGCGCTGACTGGTCCAATGGTGTAACTTTATTTTACAGGGCTAAATGTTAAAACCAGCTGTACAAAAAAGTTGAAATAACACAATTTTCAGAGCCTTCGTAAGGCCTGCGACGGCGGTAACAAAGAGCGCCCCTACATTGTTGTTTTGAATTCACCTTTGAATTTTTCAAGCACGGACGGTGTCCCAGTCCTCGATAAGGTCTGCCAGCCTTGCCACCATTTCGGTTTTGAACTGGCACTTGAGTACAAACAGGACGCCCATGTCCATGGGCTGGTAGACAGAATTGACGTTCGGAGGCAAGAAGATGATGACGATCTGCGCGTGGTTGCTTTTGATCTTGTGGCCGGGGCACTTGTCCCACAAAAGGGCCACCTTCTTGCCTTTGACGAACGGGACAAAGACTTCGTCAAACCACCGCTGGCAAATGGCAGCGTCGAGCCAGGCACTCTTGGGCGAAGTAGGGACACGGTGGTTTGCGGACGTGGCGGAAAACCATCGTTTTTTTCGACGTGCTGATGACGGCCAACGGCACCATCAACGACCCGGTCGTATTGCAGCAGGCGACCACCGTGCACCGATCCTTGGCCTTCATGGCTTTCGAACCCCGCGCGGTTTTCCTGTTGACGCCGGCGGCGGCCTCCACCCTCGTGACCTATGTATGTCTCGGGAAGCAGCGGAAGAAAAGTCCCGTCTCATCAATGTTAAAAATGAACTCGACGTCGAACTCCTGCAGCTGCTCACGAATCCTCTCGATCTCCTCTGCCACCTTCTGGTTGTCCTCGTCGCCAGGTTCTCCGTGCAATTGGACGTGAGTGAAGCTGTAGCGTTTCAGGAAGCGATGTAGCCAGCCGTGGGTCGCCTTGAAGTTGGTCTTCCCCATCTGCGCCGCGATCTTCAAGGCCTGGGCCTGGATCATCGAACCACTCACGCCAATCCTGGTTGCCTGCGTCCGGAACGACACAAAAAAAACAGCAGCGACATGGTTTCGATCAACTCTCCCTTTAATTGGTTGTGCGTTCAGTCGACCAGCTTGAAACAGGTGGACTAGAGCTTGTCGAACCCCCAACCCAGCAGCGTGGTCGAGAGTGGAAGGAGGTGTAGGGGCGGAAGGATGCAGGCGTATAGACAACCAAGTTGTATCCTGACTGATGCAAAATATGTACTTGCGTTAAAGCGTGCTCGTGCGATCTTGATCCACTTGCGTGCTTCTCTTCCACTTCGTCGTGTACCGGCTTCGGGGCGCGAAGGGCGTCCTGGTTGAGCTCCATGTCGCGGACATTCTCAAGCTCGGCGATTTTCTCCGGGTTCATCAACTTGCTGATGTACGAAGTACCAACGTTCCACTTTGCAGCAACCATGCTCCTCTTAGCCCCCCCCTGGGCCTCATTGACAATCTGCAATCGCTGCGTCATCGAAAACTTGTTTTTGCCCGTGTTCCGTCCGGGCTTGGACATCCGGACCTCTTTGGCGACACTAACTGTGCCGTCCCCCGCGGCACCTCCGACGCCCCCCCTCGCGGCGCCTCCGCCGCCCAGCCCTGCGGCACCTGCGCCCCCCNTGACATGTCAGGGCAGGTTGTTGGCAAATACACCCACGTGAGAAGAAATGCCGTTGTGCCCAACACAACATGCGCTTATTTTCCGGTGAACGAGAGTGTTCGCACGTACCGCCGAGAGACTGCACGCAGCCCAGCAGCTACAATTTACGCTGAATAAAAACAAGACGATAGAATATCACGACTGCGTCTAATTTGAATGATTTTCAAGTGCGAACCGGAAACACCAGAGTCCTCTGAACGCACAAAAGTTCACTTTCTATCAGCATTGAACAACGAGAATCACTTCGGCAGCGCGGCATGCGAACTGCTTCAGGCGCAAGTTGCGTACCAAAACATGCACAGCAGTCGCGAGAGTCTTCACTTGGTTTGTGACGCTCACTGCAATTGCACACACACCGACACATATCACCGGTCGCCCCGGTGGTCTAGTGGGCAACCTCGCCGTCTGCTATGGGACAGGTCATGGGTTCGAGTCCCGACAGCATGAGTTTTTTCTCACTAATGAAATCCTGGTCTCCGTTGGAAGCGAAACTCTGCAAAACGCGTTGTTAGCACAAGCAAACTCGATCGACTTCACAAGTCGCGAGGGAAGGGTTTGCTGAACCCTTCTCGCGATAAAAGTATCTCAGGCAGGAACCGCAGGAGGGGGTCCAACCCCCCCCTCCTATGTGACCCCGGTTGGGGCGTCGAACTGTTTAGTAAAATAAAAGTTCGTGGAGGATAGGGGCTAGAGGGGCCAGCGACAGAGTCCAATGACGAGAGAAAAATAAATAAATATATATATATGTATAATTGACGATCTTTTGTCATGACAAAAAAAACACACACAAACACACGGCAAGAATTAGACAAAGGCAAGGACATTCAATGTACATGTAGCATCGTGGTGCACGCTTTCCTGCTCAACAGCTCAACATCACGCGTTTGGCCGACGGCTGCTGCTGCTGCTGACTGCTGTTAGTCACAATCATCACCTGCTGCTGCTGACTGTCATCACTGCTGCTGCTGTTGTCCTCGTTGTCGCCACTGCTGTCCACCTCCATGGGACTTGTGCCAGTGCCGATCTTGCCACTAGTCGTTCTCTTCTGACAATATGTGCGCTCTCTCTGCTGACCGAAGCCTTCCTCACCGATTCCTCGGCCACAGAAGCCATGCATCGGCCGCCCGCATGGTCACTGGTGGACTGCGGTGATCAGTAGAGATCTCATCGCACACGTTGGTTCTCCACATGTTATTTTGGCGGCATTAGATGCACCGCCGGTAGATGGCAGAAATCTATCCATACCAACACCCAGTTACAGCTGCAGCAGCAGACGGCTCGCTACTTCTGCTGTCTGTGCATCGATACTTGTGCACTCTCCACTGTGGTGCGTGGTGCGTGCAAAGAGCGGCCCGCAGGACACAAACAAGGGGGTACGCGGCAGGAAAAATGAAGTACCCTCTTATCGTACATTCCGAAGAGCCCCTTGGTGCAAGCTTTCTTTAAGTGGGGTCGACTGCTGTACCTTTTCAACCGCCCCCATGGTCCATACACCGGGCCTTGTGAATCGATTCACCTAGTTCCTTCTCCTCTACCCTACAGCAGTTCATCTTCTAGCGGATTGTCCTTTCTTTGGCGCCACCTGTCTCGTGGCCATCCCGTGCTGGGGAAGGAAGTGCCCAAGAACAAAAAAAGGTAACACTGCTGCATTGCTGTGCAAACGCATTGCGGGTGGGGGGTCCGCAACAAGACTGAACTGCTGTGCACTCCTACAATAATTAGGAGAAACAAATATACACACAGAAAGACTACCCGTTCGAGGTATAACTACACTCGAAGGGGATGTGTTGAAGTCGTTACAGTGAGTAGAGGAAAACCAGCTGGGTACTTGACTTATTTCGAGTTTGTTTAAGCCTATACACTGATGATTTATATCAGTGATACCAGTTGGTGCTTAGCACAAAAAACATCTGCGTAGGTACATTTACATGTGGCCTGCACAGGGAACACGGCGCAATATGTCATGTTGACAGTAGTTGCTGGTTTAATTTAGAAAAATACATATATTAGGAAAAACAAATATGCACACAGAAAGACTACCCGTATAATACTGAAAAGCGTTGAGGGGGGGGGGTTGGCGACGCACAGCCGGCGTTTGATACATGTCATGTTCAAATACTCTGGGGTATTGATTCATCCCCATGACGCGTTGAAATCAAGTTTAGGATTGCGACAAATTGCGAACGAGTTTAACACCGCTCAGTCGGGTGGTGATCGAGGGGTAGGGAATTAGACCTACAAACTTGTGCGGAGAGGAGGCCATCAAGCATCGTTGTCACGAGGTTTGGCGAACACAGACAGCGCGCCCGACACCACCGGACAGAGCTCCAACCAGGTCAGGAGTACATACATGGTTCTGCTGTACCGCGAAGGACGAACAATTGCTCCAAATCAGGTGATGATCATGGCAGTTGTTCCAAAACCTTTTCCACCAAGCAGGATTCCAGCACCATGTTTCACGCAGGTTCAATGGACTGCACGTCGTGATGCCCAAGTGTAGCCCGTGTCGCTTGAGAGCTCCTTACATTGACTGTAGTTAATCGTGTACCACTTCAATAGGGGGGTCGTCGTCGGTGCTTCTGATACATGGGTGAGTTGATTGTACCTCTTACTCGTTCTCCGATTGTAGACCCTAGTGAGTCTCGATGGTCGCGGATATCGGGATAACAGAGCGGAGCTCTCATTTGTGCAGTTCGTCACGCTTGTGGTAAATACCACCCCTCCCTGCTTCGCAATGTGTCATTTCTCCTCTTTTTTTTTTCACGGTCGACTGAGGAGACGTCAATTAAAAACGTGGCGACACGAACCGAAACCGTCCGTGTTCTTGTATACTTTCGAGGGTACTCAGTCTACATAGCTACAATTGCACGCATCCAAGAGGCACGCTCTAGTTACTTATCAAAATAAGAGAGTCAGACGGAGTACAGAAACATTCCTGCCCAAGAGGTACTCATTGCATCACACAAACGTGTACCCACCCGAGACGCCTCAGCAGGAGATGCCAAAGTCTTGGCGTTGCAGACGGTCTTGGCGGTGAAGACGTCGTGAATATTTCATGCAGATACTGGACTTTGAGGGTTTACTTGGTGCGTTGGTGCACTGTGGTTCTGTCACCAAACGTGTAGGGCCCGGTTGTTCTGTATGATTAACAACCCATAGCGCAATGCCGCGTTGCGCCTTCATTCAAGCCGTTCACATCGCACAGGCTGTTGTTGTTGGACGTATCCAACAAGAGTGACACTCAGCCCGCACTGCTGTGATTCCCTCTACCTATGGCAATTTCATGTATGTTCATTGTTCCTCTCAGAGTTCATAGTTCGATCGAACCCTGCCAACGGTTTGCGTGCACGGTAGCATCTGATTCTATTGACAGGCGCGGAAACCCGTGCGACTCACGCGGCACGCGAATGGGCTCTAGAACATGGATTGATGCTACGTAGGAAGGTTACTTACACCAATAGCATATGGAATGTGGCTCCATGCGATCACATAACTTGGCTGCTGGGTTGTGGCTTAATCGAAACCAAACACTGGACGTGTGTATGACACGCCTTTCCGTCCGCCCCACCTGCCCGCGGTTTGGCCTTGATCGGCGTCCTCCTCCCCTCCTCTGCACCGGTTGTTTTCCAACAACGCGGCAATCGCACACTACCACAGACGACGCAGGCGCCACAAACGGCAGCAGATCTATCTCGGGTCTATCGCTCTTCTCGCGAAGCCTGTTTAGGAGAGCGAGTGCGACTGCATGGAACGCAATCGAAAAGCCGGTCGCCGTGGCGGACCTCACACCGCTCTTTCTGCTCGAGAACGATGTGGTGCCGTTGTTCCCGGAGCGTCGCCCGCTCACCGACATCCCGGAGATTCCTGCGAGCGCGAGTACAGCGAGACCGATCTTGCCAAGCTGTCCATCGCGCCGGGAGCAAAGCTCGAGGACTGGGTGTCACCAGACTCCGATACCGGCACCAACAAGGGAGAAATCACCGTTGGGGAGAACTGTGTCGAGGTGGGAATCGGAGCTGGAAAGAAAAATGTTTTTCGTGACAACGTGGAACGAATACCTGGCTCAATGTTTGCCGACGACGTCCACGGAGATACGTTGCCCCACCTACCGACAGTCCTGACCGGCTTCTTGGACGAGTGGCCTGCGTACGCTTCTCGCGAAACGGGAAAATCATGGACTTTGCAAGACTTGGCGGCTCGCACGGCTGGGAGGAAGGTATCCCTCGACGGCGGGCCTTCCTTCGCTCGCATGTCCATGTGTGCCGGGAGCGTCAGTCTGGCAGAGTACGAGCGGTACTCGGAGAAAGAGTCGGGTAAGGATTCCGCGCCCCTTTACGTCTTTGATCCGAGCATATTGGGGCCTAGATCTACCTTCTGCGACGACGGGAGTCTCGTCAGGGACGCATTCGACACGCCTGCGTGCTTCTCGCGCGACGCCGCTGCGGCAGTGTGCGACGAAAAATTCCGGCCTCTCCCTCCGAAATGGCTCTTGGTTGGTGCCGTCCGAAGCGGCACTTCGATTCACGACCACCCAACCACCGTGGCGTGGAACGCGCTACTCGTCGGGTGCAAGCTGTGGTGCTGCTTTCCGCCAGACGTGGACGAAAGCGCTCTGCTTCTGAATTTCGATGGAAACAGCAGCGAGCACGAAGGAGAAGACTTCGACTTGTCAGCCTTGGAGTGGTTTTGTCGGGCTGGCTCGAGTGACGGCGAGGATCCCGGAGGACGACGACATCTTCACAAGGGCGCGAAGGTTATCATCCAGCGCCCCGGAGAAGTTGTGTTTTTGCCCATCGGGTGGTTCCACGTCGTGCTCAACGTCACAGCGAGTACGGCGCTTAGTATGAGTTTGACGCTCCGGCGGGATCTGCCCTCGGTGCTGCCCTTGTTTTTGGAAGCTGAGCGTGAGTTTGCGCTTTGGGGTCGACCCAACAGAGACTTTGATAGGCAGGAAGCGGAGAGTGGCTCCTGACTGATGCGAGTGTTTGGGCTCGAACCTCGCGACGATGAATGGGAATTTGTTAATATGAAAGGCGCCCATGTGATGCTTCACAGGTAGAGTGAAGGGCGTTGTACTGCGTATTTTGTTGGTTTCATGTTCGACCGTCTGTTTTCCGCTCACCGTACGGCTGCCGTGTCAATCCTCTGTCCGTTGGAGTTTACTACAATTTCGATTGGAGGAGTGTCTGTGATAACACTTGTTCATACGGTGCCGGGGAATGCCCTTGGTTGTTCTCAGCTTGACTGCTGGGAGACTGGATGGTGCACCATGCTCATGCCACCGGGCAGGATAGCTAAGTCCGATGGTTACACACTTTGACGGATGCATTTCAAAACCGAAATTCCGAATTTCCCATGCGGCCGTAGGTCTCCGTGAAACCCTCATGACCCTCTTAGTCTAAATAATCGTAGATTGCTTTGTATTCACTCATCCCTTCCGCCAGTTCCCGAGTTAATCTCGATCTCTCGAATGCCTTGTACGAAAGAGTGTAGTGAGATGCCAGATATCTGCATGGCCTCAGGGAGAGATTCGCTTCATAAAGTAGCGGACAGGGGCTTCGTTTGGTCCCGGTGGTATTCTCTCACGACATCGGGTATTTGGGGCCCCTGCGTTTCGCACTTTTGCCTTGCCCTCGCCACGCTCGTGTGTGGAGGGCTCTGGGTAGGTACCGATGTTCGAGCAGTTGGCACATACAACGTGTTGTCCGCCATTAAATTCAGGCTATACCTCTCCCATGGGGGCATTGCTGGATCTACACTCTTCTTGTCCGAATGGTCCAACGACGTCGCGCTCCCTCGTCGTTGATTACAGTTCACCCAGGCCCATCCAAGGAATACCCAACACCGAGTACCACCCATTTATTTTAAGACTCCGAGGACATCCCGACGGATAAAATGCGGGAGAATGTGCACTATCTAGGCGGAAACTCTCCAACGCTGTCGAAACATGCGGCCGGGTGGGTGAGGGCGGCAAGCTTCTTACACCCGGGTCCTTAGGACCGGTTCGGCAATGCCGTCACAGCAGCACGTAGCCGTCACCATACCTCCCCAATCACGGGTCATCATGACACAAGTTTGCCCGCAAGGGTGCAGCTACTGTTGTCGTTTGAGTAGTGAAAAATGCACGCAGACCGAGAAAACATGCCGCATGTATCATTTCGGCATTCAAAAACACACTCATTGCATGCAACAGCAGTGGACTTGTCGCGTTCTTCACTCACGTGTAGATTACCCGCCATTGCCATTTTGGAACAGCTCTCATGTACAATAACACTCCGGAGCTTCTTTATGACGAGGAGGATGCTCCGTACGTTCGTGCGAATCCGACCAGGGTATGATGGCGATGGTTTGTCATTTCAAACAGAAACAAAGCGTGAGGTCAACCCTGCACGGATGCGCTGAACTACGAGCACGTACAGCAGTACCAAATGCTGCAGAAGCCCCGCCCTCTCTCGAGAACCCGAGGTGAATCTTTGTGCTGGTCTCTGTTGCGCCATTACCACACCGCATCGCAACTACTGCCCGGCAGTTATTTCGTGGAATCTCTAACTTTCCCTGCAGGCTGAGGCACCGGGTTTGTTGGCTCCCCCGTCGGGGTGAGTCGGAATTGGGGCAAGAATTGCCACACCTGATGAGGGGGGAATTGCAATCAACGGGATGGTGGGCGGGTTAGGGGGTTGCATCCTCTCGATCGTAGTGACCGTCCGGTGTGACAAATAGTTGAATGGGATAAGAAATCGAGAGACAAGAAAAGGTTGCGCTGTCTTTGGAATCAATTGTAAGTGCGACATGTGTCTAGAAACCCGGCATGGTTGCGGCGGTCTCACTTGGAACAGAATGAACAAAGAAGGACCCAGGCACGTAGTGCAACAACACGCGGGGATACAATTCGGGCAGTTCTTTTGGGCATGCGGGACAAGACAGTGCTCTTGTGATATTCGAGCCCAGGCACCGCCGGCTTGAGCACTTCGCCTGCAAGTTCGACTTACAATGTCCCGCAAATGCAACTTGCCGATATTAAAAAAAAGCGAACCAATTGCGAGATCAAGCCAGGGACTGGTCCATGATGCCTTATTCTGCTTATTACCTTGCCCGTGTAGTTCCGTAGACGGTCCACAGCCTCCAGATCTTTCGTGTGGTCAACCTTGGATAGCGCTAAGGAAACACAGAGGGCACGTGTATGTGGGGGAGGACATTTGTGGGAAAGGCAACAGCAAAAAATGCCCCACTTTTGAAGGCGCCGAGGCACCTCATGGGAAATGAACGGACAACAAAAGTGACCCAAATTAAAACCAAACGCCAAAGCGTACCTCACAGGAATAAACCCGGGGCTACAACGAAACCTTCAACAACTCGCAGTAGGAAAACACGCCGGCACTCATGTTGATTGTCGCCTAGTTCACAACTATACACAAGGTCAACACAGACATATTCGGAAGCAGGAACAGGACTTGCATGTGAAAACAACTGCAGGCGGGCAGAAACTACAGCGTGAGTCACTCACCGCCAAAAACATCCTTCTCGTCGATGAAGGGGATCTTTACCACCGTCTCCCAGGAGGCCGTCTTCCCGTTAGCGTCGCACTGCCGAAAAAATATTAGCAGGAAAACAAGTTTTAGACAAAATCGGCCAGTTGGCGTCTGACAAACCTACCGAAATCAAAGAACTAAACGCGCAAGACGTACGACTGGTTCGTGTTGCTGCAGTCACAACCGACCCAATCGCGTAAGTCCTTGTGTCTCACGAAAGAGCCAGAAACTCATGTCAAGCCAACCAAATCAATGCGCAATCAGGTGTGGCCCATGTTAACGTTGTTCTGGAAAGGCACCACCACCGCCAGCAACAACACCAGCGCACGCGAAAGCATTTCGAAGCGATCCTGACTTGTCATGTTCAGGCAAGAACTGCAAAGCATGTCCCAAGTCCCATACGCGGAAGCATGTTCTCGTGGCGCAGGCTGCTACCACGCAGCAACAACTCCACCAGTACCAGCAACAACAACAACAACAACAACAACGACAAAGCCAAAACTTAACCCTACATTACCTCGAACTCGGTGGGGTAGTATTCAAGGATGGGAGAGGTTGGCTCGACCATAAGGGCCTTGTAAGGCCCGGGAAGAAAGTCTGCGCTCTGCGGTGGCAGCACGCTTAGCAGCTGCAGGAGGTTGGGGAAGGGCCTGAAAAAAACGGCAATTGACAAGACCGAAAAGAACAACCAAATGAAGAGTAAAAAAGAAGGCGAAGAGAGAACGCGAGAGGGCTAGGCGTGGGGAATACACGTGGAAGCCCTGTGGGCGCTTCGCGGCTTGCAAACTGCCGCTCGAGTTGGCAATTCTGAAGACAACTCGGGTATAATAGTTGGATAACCAGCACAAAGAGGTGCTTGCCGCTTCTACCCGCTGAAACGCACTTCATCTCCGTGCTAGCGACCTGCCTCTTCAATCGTACGGGACACTAGTACCACGAGCACGATGTGGCCCCATCCGACAAAATACGTCCTCTCGGCAGCACACCCGTACCTGCCCTTTTCGAAAGAGATCTCCATGTCCATGAGGTTCGTCATGGAGCTGGCGAGGGGCGCGTAAAAGTGAGGGTAGTACCAGCTCCACGAGCCCCCCGCGTCGACGCCCACGTGGTAGTACTTGAGCACCCAGTACAGGCCCTGAGATGAACATAAAAACACGCAGCCAGCAACGTCATTTTCCGAAATAGTCCCCAAGATGCGGGGGGGATACTACGGTACAGAAAAACGTCGATTTAACAGCGATTGTGAGGAGGCTTCATGAACTGTCTACAGCGCATGGCGCTCCAACATCCGGTGGATTCTGAACAGAGGCAATTTGCATATAGCGACGAGAGCGTCTCGGAGGGGGGGGGGGGCGTGGAAGGAATCGCCTGAGCGGTGTGGTCATCAACGTGACGGATTTACAGCTTCCAACGTCGTGCCCTCTGACGCAGCTCATACCCACTTGGAAAACTGTCACGTCCGAACGTTCGCACGAGTATGGCTATCTCTACACCACAGAAGAGGTACGAACGTTTACAACTGAAACACAACAGCAGAGGCCGCCAACAGCGAGGACGCAACAATGACGGTAACAGTAATAACACCACGCTAGCCACCTCGAGGTAATGCTTGACGACAGCCCGCTTCTCTTCTTCCTGTTCCGGATCAAGGTCCAGCTTGGTCTTGTAGTAGCGATCCCTGGCCAAACCACACGCGCATCATTCGGCATCACAAAAGGGACAAACAACGCAGATGGGAGGGAGCCAGGTGATGTTTATGGAGGCAAAATAGTTCGGACAGAACAGCTTCCCGCAACGGCGAATATTCCGCCGTCACGGGACGTGTGTAGCAAAACGTTATACCCAAAGGAACCTCGCTGTGGACTAACATACATGGTGAAGCAGAAAGAAATAGCGGCAAACCGCGCAATCGACCCAAAACACTTTTTCGGCGATCGCGAACTCATGTTTTTGCCGCCACCAACACCAACTGGAAGAGAAAAAGAACAAGGACAACGAAACAAATCCGCTACCTCCCAGGGACAACCAATGGCTCTGTGCGGGGATTAGAAATGTTCGCGTCCGCTACAACAAACCATTGCAACACGGAACCAAAAGAATGTGCTTTCCAATGTCCAAGTTATTTCAGCAATCCAAAAATAACACCAAACGTAATGCCATCTACACCTCCCCCCTTGGGCGGTTCTCACGTGTACTTCCCAGGGTCCTGCAGGACAAGGTCGCTCTCCTCTACCCCTCTTCGTCGGAAGTACATCGCCTCTCTCCGAGAAACCTGGAATTGAAGAGTTGGGCGTGTGAAGTGTTCAGGTGACGGAACCCATATCATCCGCCATGCCGCCACGCGTACCGCCAATTTCCACCGTGTACCGTAACATACCTCGTGCATGAACATCTCCAGTCGGCCGTGGTGAATCTGATCCTTCTTCGTCAGGTAGCCGCCCATCTTCGGCAGCAACAGCTGCAAAACACAAAACAACCAACCACAAACACCAGAGCGCAGTAACAAACCGACAGTTACAGTTGAGCAACAACAGGGTAGCAGTCAAAGCGAAGGCAGCAACACCCATGTGGAGAACTCGAAGCAGCAGCAGCAACAGCAGCAGCAGCAGGAGGAGGACAGCCAGGGCCGGAGGCTATGGAAGCGTACAGAATGAAACCG